AAATATCGACCAGTCGATACTTGGCCGAAAACTAGTGCGACAAGAAAATCGCCGCAGATTTGTCGGAACCCTGTACGACAACACAGTTCACACTACGCAATTTTCGCCCCGATCTTGAGGATTTTTCGTACGAGTCCATGTCGGCCGGAAAATCGGCCTAGTGTGAACCAGGCTTTACAGGAAATTACTCTACAACCAAGAGTAGATAAACAAGAGTGCGCAACTCCGGGATGGGTTGGCCCGCGGCGGAATTGTTTGTTGACGTAATTTTTTCGACGATGCACGCGCTGCGAGTCTTTTGGAAAGTTTTGCCTCGTGCACTTGGCCAGGCTTTACATTACAAAGTCGGTGCTCAGCACGTGCTCTCACACTGCTCTGCGGCAAAATGCCCGTTCTTCTAAAAAAGGTGACGTCAACAAAAAATTCCGCCGCGGGCGGGGGTATCTGCAGATTGTGCAGAAAAGATCCGGAGTTGCACACTCTTTGTACGCGTGGAGACGCTTTCCACCGCACATCAGAAACCGAAGCGACAACTTGCTCGTCTTCTCAAGATCTCTCAACAACGAAGACACTGGCGCACGCAAAGCTACGTGGCACACGGCGCTCCAAAGAAGAAATGCGTAGATCACGTGCATGCATATGAGAAAAACAATGATGTCACGCTGCCATGACGATACACAAGCTGTACTGGCACGCAGTGGACAAAAATAATGGAAAATCAAGAAAAGTCAGAAAATAATACAAACAGTGAAATTCGAAAGTAGAAGTCCAAAGCTAAGGAAGTTCAAAGAACAAGGAAAACGAAGATCTGTGCTGATAGGAACTCAAAGCAATTTCAACCAAGTCCTGTCAGAGAGTGTTAGCACCCACAGGGTGAAGGCAAGCCTTGTCAGAGCAGAACCTACACTTGGACGGACTAGAGCTGCAGAACGGACTTTCTGAAGGAATGCAAAGATAAGTAACAATTCAAATTCGAGACAATCAACTTAGAAACAACACCAGCTGTTTTGTAACCTGTAAACTGCTTGTAACAATCAGTGATGTACTAGTAACTAACTCCTAGTAAGCGCTTTGACTGTGCTCTCGGAAGAACGAAGGGTTAACAAAATATAGAATAAACACAGTAGATAAATAATTGTGACACTCGTAAATTCTACAATATCTGGAGTCTTCTGCACAGTACATGAACAACCCACAGATCGCACAGGGAATACACAAGAGAACAGAGCGCACACAGATCACACAGAGAACGCACAGAAAGCACACCGAACGCACACCACTGCATACTGTCTTCTGAACACTCTTGTTTATCTACTCTTGATACAACTGATTGCAACGAGAGAGCTTGGAAGCTCAGGGCCCTACGCTATGCTTTTTTGCCTTGATGACCTAGACAGAAAAAGCATAGGGATGTTATAAATTCTTTATAAAATTCCTGTTTTAAAGACATAACCTGGGATTCGAACCCGCACTATCGCGCCCTGCATGCATCCCCCGATACACTTCGCATACATACCAATTCTTCCAAGTTGCTTCACATTATGATCTTGCATTTGAAAGCCCTATTTGAATATGCATTGTGGCCAGCCGTCTTTGATGGTACGGTACGGTAGGGATAGGTACGGGACAGGTACGATCGAGGGTAATACAACACCGTCTTCCGTACCGTACCATCAAACACAGCTGGCCACATACAGCTGCCCGCAATATTCAAATAGGGCTTTCAAACGCAAGATCATAACGTGAAGCAACTTGGAAGAATGGGTATGAATGCAAAGTGTAAGGGGGAATGCATGTAGGGCGATAGTGCGGGTTCGAATCCCAGGATATGCCTGAAAAAAATAGGAGAATTGAAAAATTTATAACATCCCTATGATTTTTTGCCGTCAGATACGGGATAGCGCCAGGCGTGACACAAACAAACAAACAAACACACAAACACACAAATACCAACGAGAGAGCTTGCAAGCTCAGGGCCCTGCGCTATGCTTTGTTGCCTAGCTCATCGTCTGATGGAAATGCTTTTTCCTTTGATTAGCTACATCATTGTATTGCAAAAACGTTTCAATGAGATACTGAAGTAACGTCTTCTGCATAGCTATGGGACCGGCGCTGACTCTGCCGATCACGGGCGCTTTGGAGTCGACGGGATGTCTGTCCTGACGTTTCCTGGGACCGGCGCTGACTCTGCGGATCACGGGCGTTCTTCTTCTTCTTATCATTATACTGACGGCAACTAACATCCATTCTGATTGCATTTACTCGTCTCCCTACTTCGTATTTCTTTCCAGAAAATCTCCCCATACAGCAGGGAGTCGTTTACATAATATGACTCCCTGCTGACTCCCTGCTATACATCTTCATGACTGTATATACGTTATAATTATTATGCTATCGGCCTACATGCGATTCCCGGGCTGGTCGACAGGCGGCCCAGCCAGCCTGCTAGTGGGATCTCGGCCTCGCACACAAATCAACACAAAATGTTACTGCACTGAATGCATTCCCCCGATACACTTCGCATATATACTCATTCTCTTGATGGTACAGTACTATTGATGGTACGGGACAGGTACGGGATAGCGCCAGGCATGTCGATGGCACAAACAAACAAAAATATTGTGGCCCGCTGTCTTTGCTGGTACGGTACAGTACGGGACAGATACGGGATAGCGCCAGGCGTGACACAAACAAACAAACAAACAAACAAACACCAAATTAAAGCTGTGTGGACCCTGGCTAGCGCCAGACGTTACTGAAGTAACGTCTTCTGCATAGCTACGGGAATTAAAGCTGTGGTGACCCTGGCTAGCGCCAGACGTTACTGAAGTAACATCTTCTGCATAGCTACGGGAATAAAGCGAGAATAATGATGTCACTGGAAATTATGTTTTCTGCGTAGTGAGATGATGGTGCATTGTCCCTCGTGTGCATGTGAAATGAAACTCACCCCCGAGATCTGCCAAAGAGACAGGATCGGTTGCCGTTCAGGATCCACACCATCCTGTCCGCCCGTCAACGGGATTGACAGCGGGAGTACTCACAAATGCCGATGTCGATGTGCACCACGAAACTTGTAGTCGCGAGTGTGATGCTAGCAGGTCTGGTAGCAACCACTGACACACGAGAGGACAGCTGCGGTATTCACTCCAGTCAGGGCTGCTTGGTCAACGATTCATATCGGCAGCTCGGCTCAGTTTGATCAATCAGAGATAATGGAAGATTAAATGATGGCCAAACTCCAAATTTAGAAAAAAGGTCTATAAGTAGCTCGAACAACTGTGGTGTGGTGACAATGTGCCAGAGCATGTCCATGGTGTGGTGACAATGTGCCAGAGCATGTCCATGGTGTGGTGACAATGTGCCAGAGCATGTCCATTGTGTGGCCATGTACCACAGTTAACGTTCAGAGCCGCCATTCTGCCTATATTGACTACATGAATGTAGTACGTATGACGGCAATATTCTGGTGCAATGACCGGACTACTCTGACTATACACGAGCTATGGGCCTGGATGGCACTGTAGTTCAGTATTGCTAGAACTTTAGTCGTGCTTCTTGACTATTTTATGCCTTGCATGCACTAGTACCCATTTGGTTAGGTTGCCAACAAATTCAAAGTCTGGTGTGTGGCTTATATTCCGATCGTCAATTGAGTCACTTTTCCAGAATTCCTGGAAATCTCTCTCCAGCTTCTCCCGGGCAGGCCCACATGAAGTCTGTCTGGGAATGAGTGAACAATTGCAAGTAAGTGTATTTGAATGTTTACGCCTATGCATATATGTGTGTGTATGTGTGAGCGTGCACGTGTGTGTTTTTGTGCGTGGGCATGTGTTTGTGTGCGTGGGCATGTGTTTGTGTGCTTGGGCATGTGTTTGTGTGCGTGGGCATGTGTTGTGTGCGTGGGCATGTGTTTGTGTTTTGTGCAGCTTCAACCTGTTTACACCATGGCAGCAGGCGCAACAAAGTGTTCGCTGCTCCTCTTGTTCTTGAGCATTCTCTGGGGACCTGCACTGGAACAATGGATGATTCGACATCAATGGCCGGTACGCCAAGTTTAGGTTGATGTGTACTTTGAGTTAGTTTTAGGGACAATATTTTATTCGAGGTTGAACCCTTTCCCGGTTTATGACCTGTATACTCTTCATGAAGATCACATTGTTTTTGTCTGGGCAATGAGAAGT